GGATCGACTAATATGATCGGAGAGCATATTCTGTCTCCCTGCCCGGAATATCCAACTCCGGTGAAGGCGTGCGCCATCAGCGCGTGCGGCAATTTCGCTGTGGTGGGGACCGCCGGCGGTTGGATCGAGCGGTTCAATCTTCAGTCGGGGATCAGTCGAGGCAGTTACACCGATGCTTCAGAAAGAAAACGTGGGGCCCATGGTGGTGAAGTGGTGGGCGTGGCTTGTGATTCGACCAATACTGTACTGATAAGTGGCGGCTTTAACGGAGATGTGAAAGTTTGGGACTTTAAGGGGCGTGGGTTAAAATCGAGGTGGGAAATAGGATGTTCGTTGGTCAAGATTGTATACCACCGTTACAACGGTCTTTTAGCTACTGTGGCCGATGATTTGGTTATTCGATTGTTTGATGTTGTTGCACTGAAGATGGTTAGGAAATTCGAAGGTCACTCGGATCGGATAACCGATGTGTGCTTTAGTGAAGATGGAAAGTGGCTTTTGTCTTCCAGCATGGATGGGACAATTAGAATATGGGATGTGATCTTAGCTCGACAAATAGATGCTATACATGTTGACGTGTCTGTAACTGGACTGTCTCTATCTCCGAATATGGATGTTTTAGCTACAACTCATGTCGATCAAAATGGGGTTTATTTATGGGTTAATCAGACAATGTTTTCTGCCCCTACTAATAAAGTTGGTTCCTATGGGAGTGGCAAAGCAATCGTGAGTGTCGATTTGCCATCTGTCTCTTCTACGGAGAAGAAATCTCTGGATAATGATTTTGACAAAGCTGTAATAATCCCTCAAGTGGAAGATTCTTCGGACTTGTCGGTTTTAAGTAAACAGATACCTGATCTTGTTACTCTTTCTTTGTTGCCCAAGAGTCAGTGGCAAAGCTTGATAAATTTGGATATTATTAAAGAGAGGAACAAACCGATCGAGCCACCGAAAAAACCCGAAAAGGCTCCCTTTTTCTTGCCTTCAATTCCGTCTCTCTCTGGAGAGATTTTGTTTAAGCCTAGAGAATCTGGTGAAGAAGAGAAGGATTCACAAGGCGGTGAAACGGAAAAGTCGAAGAGAAAAGCTGATTTTCCATTATCCCAGTTTTTACAATACCTTCAATCTGCGGCTGATGCAGATAATTGTAAGTTCCCATTTCATAAATATTTTATTATTTTAAAGAGATTAAATTGCTTTTACCGCAGAAATTTGATTTTTTTTTTCGTTCGTATGCGGTTGAATATGTGCAGTTGCAGCATTTACAGAGTATATTAAAGAATTATCTCCTTCAACATTGGATATGGAACTTAGGATGCTTCAGATTATAGATGATGATGACGAGGAAGAAACCAGCAAAAGACCCGAACTACATTTCATTGAACTTCTGCTGGATTACTTTATACATGAAATATCGTGCAGAAATAATTACGAGTTTATACAGGCTATAATCCGATTATTCTTAAAGGTACCTTTTCTGAAATATCATTAGCACCCCTTAGTAATTTTACTATAGTTTCTGGACAAGGATTCTTGAATAATTAAAATATTTTATAAAATAAATATATTTTTACAAGATTAATCCATTTTTGCTTCTCTTTTTTTTTTAATGATTGTATTTTGGGCTTCATGTAATGCAATTTTTTGGGTTATGAACAGATTCACGGTGAAAGTGTAAGGCGCCAGGCCGTTTTACAGGAAAAAGCGCAGAAGCTTCTTGAAATTCATTCGGGAGTGTGGCAGAAAATAGATAAGTTATTTCAGAGCACGAGATGTATGGTTTCGTTTCTTAGCAACTCGCAGTTTTGAGTATTTATATTACAAGTTTTGCTGTAATTCGAAATCGATTTTGTTTAAATTTTGTGGTGTAATATGATGGTATCACAGTTGTTTTTGCTCTTTTAAATTTCTATAGCTTCTTTTGTATTAGTAAGGATTATAATTGTTGGATTATTACATCTGTGTCGGTACGGTTCTTCCATTTTTATTTTGCTATTTTCCGTGTTCTTTAAGTACCTATTTTTATTTTGCTCTGGATAAATATTTTCGAAATGAAGTAATGTTTATTTGTATTGTAAGTACGAATCATGTCCCAAATTAAAACTCGGACGAGTTTCCAAATGCGGACCTAAACCTGTGTTCTTGACCAAATCTAAAATCAAATTAAAAGATGACAATTGATTACATTTATCATACACAAAGCATGTTTTTATTTTATTTTAGGTTCAAGATAATTTCTTACCAGTTCGAATTTACCGAAGAAAGGTCTAGTTTGTTCATAATATTCCGATAAATATTCCATTGGAAGTAACCGACAAACAACCTTTGAAAACCCGAACCATCAAGATTCTACAAACTGGATAAGTTTCCGTAACACGTACTTTTGGATATTCAAATTTCGGACTATATATATATATATATATATATATAAATTGTCTGTATATATCATCTAAGAGTCTTTTGTGTGAAATGAAATTATGCAAAGAGAATGATGGCTTTTATGTATGGTTACAATTTTTACATGTTATTATGAGGAGCAAAAGATAGGCCAATTCTAGTTTCAAATATCCCACATCGGAAATATACATAACTGAGTATTGCTTTATATTTCTGAATACTAACAACTAAGTTCGCCGAGCTCAGTAATGCGAGCTTGTGACCCAAATGGGGGCAATAAGGTGATTGGACGTTGGGCTTGATCGGCTTGCTGGGTCATTGGCGGCTCATATCTGGCTTGCCCGTTCCAAGTGGAGAGCTGAACCGTCCGGCTCGAGCGAAGGCTTGGGCTGACCGGCTCCTAAAGAGGAGGGCACCGCGTCAGGCTGGCTTCACAGAGCAGCGATTACTTCCCTCTCTCTACAGTGGAAGGATTACGAGCCGGTGCTTCCTTGGCCCATTAAAGCCAGCTGGGCTTGCCCAATTGGACAATTACTTTTTGGTTTTTTTTTTTTTTTTTTTTTTGTCATTTTTACATAATTTTTCAATAAACTGAATATTATTGAAATTATTTCTATGTTTTGAATCTTTTAGTTCTAGCCATATAGACATTGACTGTTCGTTTTTCGACATATGCAAATACATATGAATTGTAGAATACCTACCACATATCAACCGTATAATATTGAAATCGAACATCGGTATATATATAAAAATATTTCGTACGACAACATATAAAGATTTCTAATATAGAGTAGAGTTGATAGATGATGATATTCAACCAAAAGTTTGGCAACCGCATCGAACCCACCCCTAATTTTTTAGTTTCTATGTGCCTAGCTAATAACGTTACCAAGCATTTCTTTCATACCTAACTCTGCTCATTTAATTTTGAGACTACAATATAATTGCCTATACAAAAGGTATTTTTAGTTTAATTATTTACAAGTGAATGATGAATGGAAGGATGTATTATAGCATATAAGGAATTTCAACATTGTATATCATGGCTATTTATTTATTAGTGTGTCCGTGTTAATTAAATATAATATGTTCGATAAACTGGAATGAAATTAAAAATTTGGGCTAAATTAAAGCATTCTTCATGAATGAGTGCCCCAGACGAAAATTAAACTAATAAATAATAATATATTCTCGAAAATTAAAGATTACCTCACGATATTACATATATGATTACCATTTTTACACTTAGAGATATCCCAATTGGCCAATTGTATTAGTAATCATATGTTGTTTAATTAAAGAAAATATAAATATTTTTGAATGAATTTTAAATTGGATCTTATATATGTAAAAGTCAAATTGTAAGAAAA